CCCAAAGCCTCTTGAGATCGTTAGATTAGTGAAAGTTATAAAAACCCTGTAATTTCTCTCTTGTAAAGTAAGGTCCTTCGGGATTGTAATATTTCCTACACAATACATTCAATAAATCATCTTAATAATATTGTTTTAAAACTAAATTATTGCTAAATCATCATCATCACGCCACTGGTGAGTTGCCTTATCACCTAAAAACTATCTACTTTTGTATTTTTATAGTAAAAGGATACAATTCACCCTGTAACATTTGGTGTGAATGTGAGATTCTTGAACTTCATAAAAATCTGCATCTAATCTGTTTTAAAAAATAAAAAATAAAAAATATGAATGAAGATCAGTTCAATAAGTTCATGGAAGCTTTGATTAAAAAAGAAGAAAACAAAACTTCAGCAAAAGAAAGTAATCATATTAAAATTAAATACTTTTATAGAACCGATAATGAGGATCCTTTCGAATGGTTTGATAACTTCAAAAGAGCTGCCGAAGCTAATAATTGAGCTGAAGACCGTATGGTTAAGATCGTGTCCGGGTATCTAAAAGAAATGGCAGCTGTATGGTATAAAAAAGTTAAAGAAGGTATTGAATATTAGAAAGTAAAAGAAGAAAATGATACAGATAGAAGCAAAAGTTTCTATCATTTATTTGTAGAACAATTTGCCCCTAAAGAACAACAACATTGTTGGCAGATGGAACTATATAAATTAAGGCAAAAGGATACAGAGAAAGTGAATATTTATGCCACTAAATTTACTAAGTTACTTAACAGAATTAATATTGACAATGGTTTTTCTGATGGATTTATTGTTAGGATGTTTTTGAATGGTTTAAAGGGTCAAAACGCCACTTTAGTATCCGTAGCCGCACCTAAAAATCTAAATGAAGCCATCGACGCGGCAAAAAGAGTTGAAGCTGGAGGAAATTATGGCCAATGACCTTATGAAATAGTAAATAAACAACAACAAAAGAAGAATGAGTTAGTTGAGTTAAAGAAAAGTATTGAAGGTTTAGTATTAAATTATGCAACCTTATCAACTCAATTAAAGGATACAAGAACTTATCGTCCACGAGAAAATCCTTATAGAAGATGTCCTTATAATTATAATAATAGGCCAGTAAACTCATTAAACGAAAGAATTATAATACAAAGAAAAGGACCTTAATGTTATAATTGTAATGAATTTGGGCATTATGCTAGAAATTGTCTTTCTGAAAAACCTAATGAAACGAAAGAAAAAGAAAAAAAAAATGAGAATGAAATAAGAAAAATAAATTATTGCGAAATAATTGATGAAGAGATAGATAAGGAAGTATATAATATAGACAACGAAGAAGTAGTAAAAAAAATTGTAAAATGTCCGATTAAACTTGATTGGAATGAAAGGTTAAGAAAAAGAAAATTAGTCAATATTCAACAACCTAAAATAGTTGATGAAATGGAGAAAATGCAGGTTGATAATGAACCTGAAAAAGAAATTTCACTACTGTCAAAAAAAATTTGACGCAAGAGAGAACCATCAACGATAGAAAAGATAGAACCCTATAATGTGGCTAAAAATATTTTGTCATTATTAGCAAATGCCACAGTTGGTCAAATTCTTCAGTATTCAAATTAAAGAAAGAATTTAGCTAATATTTTAAGAAGGCCTTTACCTAAACAGGAAACAAACTTTATGAACTTTGAGGAAAAATGGAGAACGACAGCTGCTAGATGCTATGTAAAGATTAAAAATAATCCTGTATTAGCAGTCTTAGATTCTGGAGCAGCAGTAAGCATTATTTCTAAAAAATTACTTAATAAAATTGGGTTAGAAATAGATGAAGGATCAGTAACTGTGGTAGTAATGGCTACAGGAGCCAGAGCCAGAACATTGGGTAAAATTAAAGATGTAAGAGTAGTAGTAAAGGACATGATGATTCCTACTACCTTACATGTAATAAATTCATCAAATAATATATTATTATTAGGAACTGATTGGTTCCAAAAGACTAAAGCTCGAATTCATTTTGACGAGCAAAAACTATACTTACAATATGCTAATAAATCAGCAAAAGTAACAATTTCTAATAGTGATACTGAAGGCCTTAAATATAATGAAGATGATGAAGTTTATAGTGACAGCAGAGACATATTCGACGAATTTGATTACGAAGAAGAAGAATTCGAAGAAAAAGAAAGTTGACTACTACAAGAAGACAATCCAGCATTATATATTACTAACATTGAAGAGGTACCTACAAAGAAAGAAGATGATAGAGAAAAATCTGTGAGAGAATTAATTGAAGAAATGGTTAATAATGAAGAACTAATGACCCAACAAAAAACTAAAGGAAAAGAATTTCTACTTACAGAAAAAACCCTATTTGCACAAAGTATTGAAAATATAGGTCGTACGAATACTACTACTTATAGCATTAATACAGGTAATGCCGCCCCAATTAAACAAGGATACTATAAAGCTGCTTATAAAGAAAATGAGTTTATTAGAAAAGAAATCAATAAACTTAAAGAACAAGGACTTATAATAGAAATAAACAGTTCCTGGGCCTCTCCCGTAGTTAAAGTGCCGAAGAAAAACGGCAAACTACGATTCTGTGTGGATTATAGAAAGTTAAATGCAGTAACAAAAAAAGATACATATCCTTTACCGTTAATTAACGACCTTCTCGATACGTTTGGAATAGCCAAATGGTTTTCCACTTTAGATTTGATAAGTGGATATTGGCAAGTTGGAGTTAGTGAGAAAGATATAGAAAAGACAACATTTATTACAAAATATAGTACTTATGCATTCAAAGTAATGCCATTTGGCCTTTGCAACGCACCAGAAACTTTTCAATGACTAATGGATACAGTACTTGGAGACTGTATTGGAGATTTTGCTGTCGTTTACCTTGATGACATTAATATCTATTCAAGTTCTTTTGAAGAACACCTAAATCATTTAAAAATTATTTTTAGTAAATTAAGAAAAGCAAAATTAAAATTGAATCCAGAAAAATGTATATTTTTTAGATCCGAAATTAATTACCTGGGTCATGTAATTAATAAGGAAGGGGTAAGACCAGATGAGTCTAAAATAGAAAAAATTAAAAAATTTCCAATACTAGAAAATCTTAAACAACTAAGGGGATTTATAGGACTGACGTCCTATTATCATTGTTTTATAAAAGGTTTCGCTACAATAGCCTATCCGCTTCATAAGCTATTAGAAAAAAACATTCCCTATAAATGGAAAGAAGATCAACACAATGCCTTTGAAACATTAAAAAGACATTTAATGATAGCACCTATTTTAAGGTACCCAAATTTTAAAGAACAATTTTACTTACATACCGATGCTTCCGGAGTTGGATTAGGAGCAATATTAGCTCAAAAAGATAAAGAAAATAAAGAGTATGTAGTTGTATATGCTAGTCAGGGACTTTCTAAAACTGAACATAACTATTCTGCCCCAGAAGTGGAATGTCTAGCTGTAGTATGGGCAGTAGAACATTTCTATTATTATCTTGGAGCTAAACACTTTACTTTAATCACGGATCACGCTGCTCTAAAGTGGCTCCATACTTCAGAACCTAAAGAGAAAAGAGCACGTTGGATATTAAGGTTACAACCTTATAGTTATTCAATTATTCATAGAGCTAGTAAGAAACATTCTAATGTAGATGCATTATCTAGAATGTATTCACAGAAATAAGAAGAAGGAAAAAAAATTAGTTAATTAAATTATTATTATTTTTTTTTTGAATATAACTAATAAAGAAAGAAAATTTTATTTAAAGGAAATGACTTACAATATCAAAAAGATCATTATTTTGTTTAAGAGTGGCCAGGTTGGCATAAAAGCCTTTTGCCAAGAACCTGCAACACATGCGGTAGTGAAAGGCACTGCCAGGAAAGTGTTGAAACATCACAGACTGAAATTATTTTTACAAGGGTGGCCAGGTTAGCATAAAAGCCTTTTGCCAAGAACCTGTAAAACATGTGGTAGTGAAAGGCACTGCCAGGGGAGTGTTGGGACGTCACAGACTGATACAAAAGGCCCATATCAATAAGTCTACGATATTGTGAATATCCAGGGTATATTCAGGTTCATGTCGTCTTAAGTGTGAAAAGACAAATAAGAAATAAAAGACCTTATGAACTTAAGGTTAAATGATAGTGAAATAACCTATAGATACTAAAATTTATTTGAGTAGAAAATAATATTCTAGTGTTATATTAATATTGTACGAATGAAAGAAATTACAGTTATACAAGATAAGAATATGGATATTTAGACATACACTGAAATGAAGAAAATATGATTAATTATTTATGTTATCAAATATAATTCATTTAAAAATACCAAATAAATTACGAATCAGCAAAATTATAAACTTACAAGAATTATAACACATATTTAGAAAAATTAAGAACATTATACTTATCAAAAGAGCCAAGAAAATAATCAAAATATAAATCCGACATTAAGATCAATCCTATCCAGGTAGTCAGTGTTCTGGTAAAAATTTTGAAGATGGAACCATTTAGATACTAGTTATTAAAAACATATCTAGTAGAATATACGTTACCACGTAAGATAACTCCTCAAGAACAACAGAGCATTCAATCACAAAGTCAATTCTTTGTGGTAAAGAATGATTTAATTTATAAGAAAGATAAACATCAAATTAATAATTTATTAAGAATAATTCAGACATATGAAGTTGAACCTATCTTATTTATGGTTTATACTCATCTGTTGGGAGGACACTTCGGTATAGACATAATGTTCAACAAAATTCGGGCTAAATATTATTTGCTACAGATATATGCTGATATCTGATGATTCGTTTGTATCTGTGATTCCTGCCAAAGAAGAGGCAAGAATTTAGTAAAACCACCATTACATCCAATTCTGGTAGAAGCCTATTTTATAAAATTAGAATTGATATAGTTGGTAAATTACCTGTAACTCCTAAAGGAAATAGATATATCATAGTCGCTACAGACTATATGACTAAATGGCCTAAAGCTAGAGCTATTAAGAATGCCAATACTCAAGAAGTAGCTGACTTTATATACAAAGATATAGTATGTCGCCACGGATATCCACAATACCTATTATCTGATAGAGGAACTTATTTTTGTAATACTCTAATGGACAAATTTTTAAAGAAATTTAATGTTAATCATCATTATTCAACACCTTATCATCTACAAACAAATAGATTGGTGGAACGATTTAATAAAACACTTTGTGAGTCCATTGCAAAATTAATTACAAATGTAAGAGAATGGGACTCAATGATACCTTCAGTATTATTCACCTATAGAACTGCTAAACAATATACAACAAAGATAACTCCATTTTACTTGGTATACAAGAGGGAAGCAAGATTTCCGATCCATCCTAGTAAAAATGAAGAATTATTAGAAGGAACATTCCTTCAGAGACTTTTTGAATTAGTAGAAGTATTACCACAAGTAAGAAACGACGCTGTTAGAAGAGTTGAAAAAGTACAAGAAAGTGCTAAAAGAAAATATGATCAAGACTTACAACATATAGAAGAAATAAAAAGAGGAGACCAAGTATTAGTATACAAGGCTTCTTAACAACATTCTAAAAGTCATAAGTTATATCCAAAGTGGAAGGGTCCTTTTGTCGTTCATAAGGTGTTAGAGAAGGGTATGTTTAAACTTCGACCAGTTGATGGAAAACCTCTATAAATAGAAAACTGTTAAAGAAGTACGATTCTAGATAAGGGAATTAAAGAAAAGGGTAAAGAATGAAAAAGGATATGAATTAATTCAAAATTACTATTTTAAATGAACAATATAATGTGACGATATAATGATCGTCATTAATGTATTATTAATTAAATAAACTCTATATTTATATATTATTGAAGTTAAATTTTATTAGGGTGATCATATTATATATTAAGAAAATATAAGAATTGACAAATGGAAATAAAATATATTGATAATCGTATTAGAGAAATTTAACTTAAAAGAGTAACATATAAAGATAATTGAATAGGTTCTTTTTAATAAATTAAAAGGAACGTTGAATAACTCTAAATTCAACAAGAGTTTTTGAAAAAAACTAAGTCAAGTTTAATGCAATGAAGTAACACTATCAAAGTTAAAGGTCAGAAGTAAGGTATCAAACATGTGACTCTCAAAGAATAATACAAAGATGGACCAATAGGAATAAAAATATCCATGATTGCATTAAAGAATTTCAATTTAAAACCGCAAAGTATGAAAATGGAATAAATTCCTTTTAATAGATTAGATAACGTTTAAAGATTGCTGAAAAGAATTTGATTTAGTATTTTCAGTAACATAGTTAGATAGTAAAAGAATAAGTTTTAAGAAATTTAATCACGTACCCTATCACATGCTTGCACTAAAGACATTATTAATTAAGAGTCAAATTATTAATAAGCGAATAAGTAGATTACATTTCAAGCTTAAAAAGAATTAGATAAAGTAAGACTAAGATTAATATAAGAAGAAAAATTAATTGCTTAAGAATATACTTCGGAAGTTAATCACATGAAACGAAATAGTGCCGTTGCACTTGGATAATTGTTAAACCAGGAGAGAATTTCGCATTTGAAACCAGATTGTTATGTCTGAGAAGAAGATCGGAAAGATGATAATGAGAAATAATTTAAAATACGTCACACGAGAAGAAACTTATATTCAAATGAATATGAAAACGAATTTTCTCACGAAGGCATAAATATTCAAACATAATAAGGAGAATTCAGCATTGTGAATAATTACAAAAGGATCGAGACGATAAATCTAAAATAAGTATTATAAATCGAATTAATATTTGTTATGTTATAAATTAAGGGTAGAGGGTATGTAGATCATTTTGTCATATGATTTTGGTGGTACAATAAGATTTATATAGAAATTGATAA